TAGACAATTAGTTACAACAATTAATTAATCACTGCATGGCCACTCCACTAGAGTTCTCTCCCATCTGTTTTAGAATTTTTGGCTCGTTTTAATTGCATTTTAGACTGTTGCAATCCCAAACAATCACCTTTGTTGACTTTATCTCACAATGGGATCCATGTGCCCGTCAATTAATGGTCAAAATATCCATTTTGGTACTGAAATAATCGAAAACAAACGACTTAGTATGAATTAAAATTGTATTAAGTACTGGGTACTTTAAGTAACGTCATCTTATTCATGCATTATTACTTAGCTACGATACCATGAACTTGTAAATTTTAACAATCAGAGTAAGCTTTTTACAGTGACCACAGAAAAGGAATCAATTTTTTTAAGGCGACCATAAAGAAGGAAACAAACATTTTACAATGAAGAAATAAAATGAAAGCCCCTCGGGGCATAACCCAATGGTACAAAGGACAGAAATGAGCTAGTTTCAGCCTTTCTAGCAGTCGCAGTATAAGAGTTCGATTCTTGAGATATGAAATTGGACTCTTTGTGGACACCAGTGTATGGACAAGCTCTTGTTCACTGGCCTGTTGGGGCACATCCCGCGATTTGCCTCCCTCACAATGCTCCAGGAGCCGGGAGGTGGGGCCCTCGAGGTTGGAGTTCAACCTTTAAGAAATAAAATGGAAGAAAGCTTTCGTAGTTTTGCGTGCACTTTAGTAGTTTTGCGTGCACTATGACACGGACTTTGCATTTGTGAAAACGCTATCTGTGGAAACAAAATGTTCAAAGGTAACTTATGGTAGATGTGGATGTTTCTTTGTTGATACTTAACACGACAGCATGGGTCTTGACTAATGAATTTCATTTGTCAGATGTAATTGTTGACGTGCATGTATATAATCTCTATTGACTCTATTGTCCTACCTCATTTCTCCTAGTTAATATTTAGAGTCATACTATGTGGTGAAATTTCTCAAGTGCAAGGGATCGTTGGCAAGTAAAATGTAGTTGATAAGTTGAAAGTATCGATCCTACAAGAAATAGACTTTAAGTAGATTGTATCAACTGGAAACTAAAATGTAACCGAGTCACAAAATTGAGTTGATGTTTTGATTGTCTACTACTAATATTTGTTCTAACTTCTATTCAAATACAAATAAAGAATGATTTTATGAAAGCTTTTGTGAGAAGAATGTGTTAGCATTCTGACTCTACCTATTGTTTGCCATTCCAATTCTCGGCGTATAATCTTTAGTCTTATTAGGGTATAAATTGGCAACCCTAATCCAATTTTAATAAAACATATCTCTCGAGATGAGTTCAACCTATTTTTATACACAACTTGAAATATCCCTATTCGAATTTAAATACCTAGAAACGGATTAAATTGTGTGATTACATGTTTTGATTACATAAGTCGTAAACTATTATTCCTAATGTTTATTGAACTTTATGCTGGTTATATCACAATGTTATAATCCTATTTCGAACCTCCCCTAAATAAAGTAAGCAACTTATTAACTAAATAATGATCAAGCATTTAAATAAGCAACAATTATATGATATCAATCAATTACAAAAATCATACTAAAAAATGGGCTTTGAATGAAGAAGGTAAAACAGCAGCTTATGTCTTCAGCCAAACACTCACAAATTTAGCCTAGCATACTTATTATGAAATTACAACAAAAGATATGAATATCACCACCTGGAAAATATATTTGCGAGAAGGAGCAATCGAATCAATTTTGCCTTCTTGAATTCCTCCAAACAAGACTTCAATGATTCTAGATAATTTCTTGCTTTTAATCTTCAAGTCCAAGCTCTGAATCTTCAAACTCTTGATATAGTTATCTTGAATCTCTTCTTAGCCTTCTTCTTCATGATCTTCAATAAAGAATATTGAATTTTTTATTTCAATTTTTGTGAAACCCATAGACAAATTTATTTCTAAAAAGATGAACCAAAAAAATCTTCAAGTAAACAAATAATATTTACACAAGATTAATTAATAGTTTCTTAAAATTGCTCCCATATATCCATAATTAACGGTCGAAATAAGTGTATAAAATTCACTTATCACATACTTTTCTATTATACTTCTATTTAAGTTCCGTTTATAGACTTGATATGCTAAACTCAAACGTGATGAAAAGCTCCTTCTTTATCCTCTCATACCTTTCTAAGAATCTCTTGTAGCTTAATCTTGTATACTCCTATTTATCATCAATATCATGCCAAAATATGGCATCTTCAAATTCAAGGAAAGTCAAATTCTTTTTCTTTTACTTTTCCAGAAAAATATGGATTATAATTGCTATTGTACCTCTAATTAATCTTTATATATCCATTAACTTATCTAACGAATTTACCTTCTCCGATCCACGATCAACAAGAATATCAGTTGGTACATTGATTGATGTTATTTCAAAGGGTCTACACCTTAGTCAGGGCAGACAGCTATTTGCGTTGATTTACTTTTTAATCCATGGAACAACTTTGGCAAGTTACTAAGTGACGTCGAATTTCCTTTGAAGTCCAATTGACTTCAGTCTTGATATCTGGTGTACCCTACCAAGCACTTTAATGATACGAACTATTAGGTCCAAATTGTATTTGTTATTTTCATGACCAAAATCACAGTTTATTGAGTTGTAATTCGAGTCAAAGAGTTGGGGGCTGAGAGTATGTGTTGAAAAAGTCAAAGGTAACAAGGAAAAAAAATAGTTATAAAATTACTCGCAGTCCACCAATGGAGTGCTCGAGTGGAAAAAGCAGTGAAACCATTGCTCGCCAACCATGGGTCCAGCGTTTGAACGGTTGTGTGACCTCTCGCTACTGGTGAGGCCACTGCTCGAATGGTGGTGCTATCCAGCCAACCCTAGGTCCTAATTGGCAATAGATTTTACAGTTTCAAACAACCTCTAACACTCCACATTATAAAATAAAAACACATTTTTAGGGAATATATATATATATATATATATATATTAACATAAACTATTTTGGGGCTATGGGGAAAAAGCTTCATCTAACGAAAATATATATCCTCACCCTTTTAGCTTTTCCCTGCACAAAACCAAAACTAGAAAAAGTTTAACGTATGACGCCACTGCTCATACTTTTTTCTTGCATTTTCTCATAATTTTTCTTCCTAACCTTTCTCTCTAGCTATGCTCACCAAATGTCTCTGTCATTTTTATATGTACAATTGCAGGTACACGGTTCTATCTTAATAGGAGAAGTCCTATGGCAATTTTTTCTCTTCTACTTGCAACAGACAACCTCTTGTTAATTGCAATATATGAATCATTTTCTTCCTTTATTTCTTGAGCCACCAAGTTGGTCTCTTTTCTTAACTGAATGGTATAACTTAATCTGCAAAAATGGTCCTTTAATTATTTGAGTCTATCGTTGCAATCTCCACCTTGACTCAAGTTATTCAAACCATGGCATGCCTTGACATCAATCTTTGCGCTCCATTACTAGTAGGTGTTACTGTTCCTTAATCAATCAACAAATTGCTTTATACCTTCAACAAAGTTGTTGCCTCACTATAAAGGACCATGCAATCTACGATACTTGCAATCAATCCTTTTACACGTATAAGAAGCTTTGTTATCTAACTCCACCTTGTTAAGCCAACAATCCATTTTGAGGTCACCTTTTTCTACAACTGTAGCATTTAACTTTCTTCTTACTTCATGACTTCAACTTGATCTGACTTTCACTCTCACTAGAGCCATGTTCCTTTTACCTCTCATTCGTTGTGGAAAATGCCTCAACTTGCAGTAAACTACCTTGTCTACCCTATTTGATTTTGCTTCTTTACTCTTCTTTAATAATAATAGACTCAAGTATGTCACAAATGAGACTCTTTATATTGCTGGTCAAATTTATAACGAATTGATCATATGATTCGTGATGACTTTGAATTAGGATCTAGCACATTCAGCATCCTCTATATAAAACTCAAAGTTGTATCTTGAGTAAATAAGGTATTAATGTTGTTGATGTAATCCGTCATTATTGCAAATTTCATCATACAAAGGGTGTGTAGTCTCATCTTTAAGATCTTAGTGACTCAACCTTATACAGTTTTGTCGGTATCATACATCTTGTTTGCCACTTTATTCCCTACAAGACTTGGAAGAGATAAATCTACTAATGCAAGATATATTAGCATTGTCATACACGAACTTTCACTAATCAGTTGAATAAAACCAAAATTCAGCACTGGAAGTTTAAATGAGATGAGAAAAAGAGAGGCAGTATGTGTAACGAACACCTGCTTCAGTTCCATAATGTCAAATACAAAGATTAATGGGATGAAAGAGCTGTTAATTTGCAATAAATGGTGATTGATGAGGACGCCAACGTCGGTGAAATCTGAAAACGAGATTGAAGACCTAGTCAAAGAAAAGAGAAAGATAAACGAAGAGGAAGAAGAAAAAAGACAGTAGGAAGAAAACACGGGGATCTTGGGAAAGAAAAAAGGAAAACAAAAGGAAAAAGAATGGAAATAAACATGGAAGGAAAAAATTCTTCTATGTAAATTGAGAATAAGGGAGGCCAGCATTAATCCCTTGTTTGAGCCACATTTTTTACAGGAGAATTCTACTTGTACATAATTATTGCACATAATGGTGTACATAATATGATGTGACAATCATTCATTGTTGATGTACAAGAGTGAGATTTGAATTAAATGTTGGATCCAGTGGTCATTTTTGAACGACACAGTTCCCCATACTTTTTAATCACACATTCTTCAAAAAATCAATATTACAAAATATATTTTTCAAAAAAATTGCCACAAACAAACCCTAAATGTTTTATTGATTTAGAATGAAATACATGAAATAGTGATTTTAACTCCTTTAATAGTGGCATTACGGCTTTTACAAGAATACGAATCACTTGGCAATTTTTCTTGTTCTAGCAATACATTTGGAATTTGGATCACTGAAGATCAATAAACTTAGCTCATAAATAATCTTGCGGTACGTGAATATATCCTTGTGATTTTTCTTTTCAATTGTTTTCTCATATAATATTTAACATATCTGTTTGTGGACTAGTGAACAAAATGCCACTTAGAATAACTTGTATCTATTGACCCGACAAAGAGCGTACTATGTATCATTATTTTTAATTTCAAACAATATATGATGCAACAAATATATCGATGTCATTGCATCGAGGCATTAATTCATCGCCTTTGCAACTATTTCTACCATACATTCTCAATAGATAATTTCTTAATGGAGATAAAAGGCTAGACGCCAGGAACCAAGAATTGTGGAATTTTTCATCATTTGCGCTATTCTTTTTAAGGACGGTGTACCAAGACGGTATCATCAAAGAGTGTGGAGTTGATGAACTCTTCAAGGATTGGGAGCTGATGATCGTCATCGTAACTGTACATTAGAGGAACCATTCTTGCAAGATTAAGAGAAGCTTTTGTGAAAGATGAGCTTGATGAGTTTTTATTTAAACAAAAACACTCCTTGTTAAGATGCTTCCATTCACTTGATATCATATCAATAACACGCTCTCGCACAGTCTCAATGGTTGATCCTGGATTCTCTTTCATGTAGCACTCTATGTATGAACCATCATTTCCATCTTGCTGCTCATCCTGTCGTTATTTTGATACAAAACAAATGAACAATCATTGTGTAATTAATTAACAAGGGAGCATCAATTATAAAGTTTAAAATTCTTGATGATGGTCTTGCCTAAAAGGTTAAATTGTTATAGAGGGGAAAAGTACTGTGGAGTTATAATATAAAATTTTAATATGTAATTAATTACCTTGGCACTTCCAAAGTCATCCCAGAGACGGAGAATAGCGGCCACAGAGGATATGAGTTCTGCTATATCATCCAATTGAACGGCCCCTCCTGTTTTTCTATTGACTCCCAAAAGAAAAAAGTGGTGGACGAGCACCACATGTACTCCTGAACTCAGCTTCCCATTTTCTAGGTACTCATGTGAGGTTGGCAAGTGCCCTGAAGCAAACCATTTAGCTTCTACTAGGAAGGCGTCACACAGACTTCCCCACTACAACAAATAAAGGATATGCCATCAATATCATCTATGTATATGTCATGCAGAGATATATTAGGCCATAGTTTTGTTTAGCCAAAAATATTAGATTTTTATCTAAGTCAAAGTTAAAACCGCACATTTTATTAATCTATAGTTTTTATTGACATTTTAATCATACATTTTATCAAATTTTATCAAAATATACTAAAACTTTGATTTTTATCAAAACCAAACAAGGGCCACATATTGGCATGGATGAAAAAAGAGTATCTATCTTACTGCTAACTTCAGTGAATCGATCGGATTATATCCGTGCTTTTTGTAGATCTTGCACCCTATATCATTTGTGGTGTCAAGAAGGGCTTTGTAGCACATCTTCATCGGTTTTGGTAATATCTGAACGACCGAATAGTCCCACCTGTCCACAATTTAAATATTTAAATCATCAAAAGATATTCAAGTTAAAATTCATGCAACTCCAATATTGCTCTCCCTTCTAAAATTAGAAAAGAAAATGTTTTATACATGTGCACAGCTCGGGTAAAGACAGTAAGTTCTTCTGGTGTCCCATAAAGATCGAAAATGTCATCTATTATGTAAATAAACGTGATGGATTTGGTGAGCTCAAGCCTTTGCTCCGACATGCTTGGATCGCTCAGGGAAGCCATAGACCATGTATACCATTTTAATGGTTGGTTCCTAGCCTGCTTTAATTCCTGAGCCAAACCAAGGTCTTTCCACCACCTGAAATTACAAAAGATTCCATTTTTAGTTTTCCTCAAAATAGTCAAGAAATTTTCATACGTGTTATGTCTTCTTACTTGGAAATTTTGGCCAGTTCTTGTTGGTTGCCGGTCTTTGCCACGGAAATATTCATTTTTGCGAGCTCTTTCAATTTTTTTCTCCATCCATTTATGCCTTGGAAATCTCTAATATACTTCTTTGCAGTAAATCTTGCAATGCTTCTGTGATAAGGATGCTTCAATCTGCCACTAACAATTTGGCCACTAAATTTTGCTGCTTCATCAAGAATATCTTCTCCTTCTGTCACTAGCTGCGCAGCTTCATACAATTCCATCAATCCTCTAATATCTTGCTTTAATTTCCCTTCAAACACCCCATCTGTTCCCTTGAATTTGTTGAATATGTCTGTGTCATGGAATTAATTTGATTACGACTAATAATCATTTCTTTTTCAATTAATTAACAACAACAAGCACCAAACAAAGACAAAAATAATAAAAAATAAAATATTTCAACCTGCGGAAATGGAAAAACCATGTTCTCTCAAGAGTCTGAAGAAAAGTGAAAGATCATGAAGAGTGTATCCATCAAAAGAAGTGGTGGCTTCCATGTAATGTCGCCGAAGAACTGCTTCAATCTCTTCCTGAAAATGGTAATCAACATCTAGTCGCTGGATAGCATTTACCAACATTAAGCTTTCTATTTGATTTTCTAATTCCTCTGATTTCAATATTTCCCTGATATCCTTCAGTTTTTGTTCATATTCCATGGAAAATTCATCCTGCAAGTCAGACTTGTTTTTTGCTTTACGTGAATATACATCGACACATAATATAAAAAAATATGTAAATATATAGTTATAGAACATAAATAACCTTAAAACTTTGTCCATTCAGAATAATTTGGTGCGGTTTCGAGAGTTCAGAAGTTGCTTCTAGAATGGTCCACTTCTGAGGAGTAGCTCTACATGCAACAAGAGATGGTCTAATAGCTCCATTATCTGCAATTTTTGTATGAATATCAGAACAATGGCTGGGTAAAGACGAGGGGCTCTTGTAGACTGCCATGGCAGAGAGAAATGTATTTTTGGATAAATAGCTATGCTTATTAATTAGAAGACGTTTGCTTGATAACACTAAGAATTGATTATGGGGTTTATATAGGTGCAAACCACATGCATGGTAGTTCCTTCTCCAATATTTTCCACGTTATGATAACTTTTATGCCATATATGAAAATGACGTATTCTTCCTGTACGAGGGAATTACGACGGCCATTAGTGTTTGTGTGCCGAGTCTCAATGTATGGGACCGCCAAGAAAATGTTTATATCATTGATATTGATAATTTCTTGACGAATTCAATTAATGACTTTAGTATTTACCATCGATGTCACCGTTACATATTGAAATATATTCTTATGTGGAAGATCTTTTGTTTTCCCATTTTAACCATACATTTTCTTTATAGGAAATTAATAAAACAGTGGCATCAACTTTCATTTAGAAATTCTAATAGAGTAAAAGTTTTCAATGTTTCTTGAAATTTATCCTTCAACTCATTCCAGAGAGCACGCTAATATAAATTGTATAAAAACTTTTGCCACATAAGCATATAGATATTTCAGACTTGTTTTGCTTTGAAACCCTCTAAAAGTAATTTTTGGCTTACAAAAAGCCCTCCTAAACACACGATTAGGACTTGTTTGACCCAATTTTTTTGGGTAAAATAATTTTACAATAGTGATTTTTGAAGAATTCATGGTAAAAGGTAGGAAAAGTTTTGAGTTTATTATTTTACTAAGAGAATATATAATTGAAAATAAAATTTTGTAAAATGGACTCAAACAGTAGCTTAATTATTTAGTCATAGACATCTATCTCACAATAAACTGCAATATACAAAGGTTTTTAGAAAGCGAGATGGAGAAAAGTGTGCTGCGCATTGGCAACCCTTGGTCGGTGTAACATTTTTAAAATTTATTTTAGCTCCCGTTTATTTCTCATTTTTGAAAGAATGAGAATGAAAAATATAGTCGTTACAGGCCCACATAAGAGATAAAAATTCAAATTTGATGACTTGATGTGATGGATAACGGTCATATTTTTCATTTTAACGAGCAAAGAATGTGAACTAAGCCCCTGTTTGCTATTGTTTAATTTTAAAATTGTTAATATTATATTGTTCGAATGTTAATAAATATTTGCTATTTTATTACGTTGTGTAAAATTCTCGATACGAAATTTATTTCTTAAATGGAATTACTTTAACAATCTTTTGGATATATTTAAGAATAAAAATAAATAAATAAATGAATAATTCCTTTTGGTTAAACAAAAAATCTTCCCCATTATATCACATGTTTCTCAAACTTTTTTGGGTTACTTCTACTACATAAGATTGGGTCCACTCAGACGATACCCACCACGAAAGGATGAACAATTGTCCCTCGTTAATTTTATTAATGTCATATGATGTCAATTTAATATTTGACAACTACTTTCAGAATTTAAGTTTTGTTTTTCAATCATATTTACACCTCATGATTCAGAAGTTCATATCCATATCTCAATCATGATTATTTAATGAAATTGACAATCCATTAGACAGCGAGAGTCTCCTAACTTTATTTGATTATTAGGGGATTATTATTTGATTATTTGACATAATCCCCTTTTGCAGCAGCCAGCTTTATTGACTCCATCAGAGATGCGTAGCGAGGTACGTGCTAATTTCCTATTAACTTGTGATCTAATATAATGGAACCCTCACAAACAACTTATCTTGTACAAAGGTTGAGTAACAAGTTGCTTCTAAAAATACTATAGGATTTTTAAAGTGTTGGAAGAGCTTACTGTCGCTAACTCAAGTACACTAGTCATTTATTGTGACAACATTAGCACAATTTATCAATGTGTGAATACATTATTTTACTCGCACATTAAGCAGCTTGACACTAATTTTCATTTTGTTTGTCACAATGTTAAAGGTGGTAAGTTGCACTTCCTCATGTGTCATCTTCATCTTCTAAGTAATTTGTCGATGCCTTAATAAACCCTTGTCACGCGCTCGAGCATCATCTTACTGGACATATTAATGATAAACTTGATTAGTACTGTATTTTATCATTTATCCTATTGTAACAATCCATTTTTCTAGTTATTTTAGTTCTCTAGTTTGTTTAGTATTCTAGTCTTATATATTTAATAATGAATATAGTATTCTACTTAGTTTAATACTCTAGTTTGTTTAGTATTTCTAGCTTTATAAAGCTTTTAATATTTGTGGATGAAATCCAACGTTGGACAAACGTTATTCTCATTCCCACCCCCCAAGTAATACTTTTTTGGGAGTCGGTGGATGATTAGAGGTGATCGGTGGAAAACGTAGGATAGGAACTTAGAATTGTCGTTATCAATTGTCAGATTACCTCAAAATCACTGATGTTTATATATTTGCTTTCTCATTGATTATAATGGCATAATATGTCTGATTATCTTAAGATAAAAATTAAAAATTATTGTTAGAATTGGGCTGCGACTCGAATCGTTATTGAGTATTTGACTAGAAATACCGTTTGAGTATTGAGAGTTTGGTAGTAGACTTGAATGTCTTGAAAGATTCCAAGGTGAATTTGAGTCCTAACTTATTCCAAGTTCTCCATCATTGGTTTTATCAATTATATTAGGATTTCACCTTATATTAAACTCTTCATGTATAATTCTCTTCGTATGTTAGGAAATCTATGGTCATAAATTTGTGTTGTACAACACATAATGGAATTCACCAATTCTCCAATTAATTATTGGTTCAAAAAGCTCATTTGTAACTCCTTACTATTTATTATAGTGAATTCTCCACCTCTGCATGTGGTTTTCCCGAATTTGGATTTTCACATAAATCTTGGTTTCTTTGTGATCTATTATTTCCATATTACTCATATTTTTTAGTTCTTTAAATATTTTGCAAGCTTCTCAATAAAGTGGTATCAGAGCTATTCTGCTTTCAACAAGTAGTTTTAGATCTGGTACGAAGGTTTTGGTGGTTCTTGATATGGTCAAATTGGTTATTAAGACGTGATTTTATTTTTCATTTTTTGGGGCAAAAGTAATTAATAAAATGATTCGAAGACTTGTAATAGTTTAGAGGATAAGAGGGCGTATGGTTTGTAGATTTTTCAATAAATTTATCTTTATTAAATATTCTTTTATTGGTTCCTGCTCAAGGCACTTCTAACATATAAAAAAAGTAGTTTTCATATCCTAATTGTTCGTATTTCTTTTGTCCATTTTCTGTTACATTTTAATTGTAGTGGTATAATAAGCTGTTAATTATTTAATAATTATTTATATTAAATATCATTCAAGTGTTTGCTTTCTTTGTTATTTCATTTTGTTATGTAATAGCCTTCATAAAAATTAACATGTTAAGTAACGATTTTTTTCCCTTTTAATTTGTTTCTTTCTTTTTATTTTATAAGAAGATAAATTTTACTTTTGCTTCAAATCATTTGGTACCGCATGAGCTTGATTCTGCAAAAGGAGGATGACCCCAGTAACTTGTTGTCATAAAGTGTCTAAATAATTTTTAATTAAATTAACAGTCACTTTCAAAACTTAAATAGTCTTCCAATCATATTTACATTTCACAATTGGATACGTGTCTGATAAAATTTTATTAATTTTTCGTTTTCTCAAACATTATTAATCCCGCATATCATTAAATTCACAATTTTATTAACTTTTCCAACTACAAATTTTATCAAAATATACTAAATTTTTTATCAAGGAGTACTTAGAATACCATCAATGTGAACCCCATTTGCTTCTGAGACCCATGTTTAAATATTGATGTGGTATACGAGGGAGGGGTTTATCCATTTGCATTTACATTTAACTTTCTAGTATTTCTTTTGTTAAGGGACATTTTAGCCTTTATATCATCATAGCCTCGTAAGGTTTTTTGAGGCTTTGTTACTATTTAAACTCTTTTACGATTTTAGCTATTGTCTTGATCATTTTAAAATTATGAAATTCTTCCAATTCTCAACCTTGTTCTTGTATCTAGCGAAATAATCAAAATCAGGTTAAGGTGTTGTTCTTTATTTAATTTACTTTTAATTCAAAGCGGCAATTAGCTTTTTTTAGTTAAAGTTTCATAATATTTTGACTTAAAAATTTCTTAGAAATTTCTATAAAGTGTCAGCGTTCCAATTTCAATAAAAATAGAATAAACTGGAAACTATTATTATTATTTTTTTATTTTATTTTTTGGAAACCTTTTTGTTATGTATTCGAATTGAAAACGTTTACATTCTAGAATAAATAGAAATATGCTACTCGAACAAGGCCATTTGTGTCCTACTCGAAGGGGGTCCAAGTGACTCTCCTATTGGTAGGATGTCTATGTGGCCAAGGCCCTAAATTTTACAAAGTTAATGAAGATGACAAATTTCTATTTGTCGATTAATTGTTAAATAATTGAACGTATTCAAGGCAGAAAATGTGATAATTCTCAGAAAATGTGATGTCTGTGATAATTCTCAGAAAATGTGTAGCATGTCGGAAGCAACATATTCTGTAGTCACTGCTCACTTGTTGACAAATTTACTTTTTTGGTTATTGCTCACGTGTGGTTATTTCTCACTTGTTGATAAATTTACTTTGTTAATTAGTTTAAGGCTTTCATATTGATTATTATTTTTGCATTTGATTAATATGGAATTTTTATCTTTAATATGCTCTCGGAATATGGTGACTTTTTTTAAAGCACTAATTTTGAAATTCAACTTTTTATTTGAACTTTAGTTGAATGTTCGTTTAAACTCGTAGGATTGTGATATTATATGGAATTTTAGGATTCAATCTTAAAATAATCTAAATCCATTCATTTGATTGATATTTTTGAATTTGATACGTGTGAAAATTTTACCTATTAAATTATTGAAGTATCTTAGAAATTGAGCAAAACTAACCAATAATTGGGACAAAGGGCAAAATAGAAATCTGATTAAATTGATTGTTAACTGAATTATAATATTTCAAGGCTACAGCTCAAATGTGATTTATTTTTTAATTAAAAAAATAGTTTTTCAAGTAAATTTGACTGAAAATACAATTTGAATATTCATGAAAATGGATG